AATAATAATATAATTTTTTTGGGGTATAAAATCTTAAAATTGCTATTGCTTCCCAGTACTTGGTTCCGTCCATGAATATTTTTCTCATGCTCTCATGGTATCAACTTTTCTTAAATTTTTTAGATTGAATCTATATCTGGAACCTTGGTGCTGCGCTGGGTCAACTCACAACTTGGACGGATCTTAGGATGGGTGGAAAGAGCTTTCCAACAAGAGGCAAGCACATAAACTTTCTTTTTCAGTAAACTTCCTAGTTCTGTGTTTTTAAATTCTACCATTCATCCAGGTCCTCGTAGTTGGAATAGTATTGCTCATATAAATTTAAAATAGAAGTGGTTACTTAAATATTCAAATATAGTATTGTATTGTTACTGGAAAAGTGTCGAATGAACTATGACTAATATTTGAAGAATGTTCTGTAAATCACCACTAGACAGTTTTCACTTATCTCGTTTACTTTCTTGGTCGTGAGTTTTGACATAGAGGTTTGTCCAAGTGGTGTACGGTCTCAAGCATGGTAAACTAAAATGAATTTCACTTAGTTATATCGCTTTTGTTCTTACTGATTTGCTCTATTATAATACTTTTAAGGCCATTTTATTATTAATATTAATTCGAAGGTGAACAGTGTTGGATTTGATCAGATTAATTTGTTTTTGAAATGAGATCCTATAGCTACATTTCTGTCGTGCTCTTTCTCTGGTGTCTATGGAAAGAGAGAAATGATACAAATTTTAAAGGCAAGGAGAAAACAACAGCAACCCTCACTGATATCTTATCTTTTTGGGTCTTTTCTTGGTGCAAAAACTTTCTTCCTTTCAGTAACTATAACTTCCCTTCTCTGATAATCAATTGGAGAAACTTTTTCTGGATGGTTTCAAAGTTATCAATGAAACTGTTTCCTAAAAAAATTTGTTTTTTAATTGTGAGATCTTGTCAAGAATTTCTTATCCGTGTTCCAAGTACAGATTAATTGTGTTCTTGTTTAATCAGGGTGAAAATAATGGTTGAGTTGTATATCCCCTTGGATGTGTGGTTGGTTTGTACTGGCCCATAAATGAAACGTTGCTGTTTCCTTACGAACTTATTTCGTCATAGTCTAGTGGTTGGTTTACCCAGTGTCTGATGTATGCTTTTGCTATCTGTAATATCGACACTTTTGTGCAACATCTTTTGGGGCAGTCATGTAATTTTAGTGGTTAGGTTTCCCAGTTAGCCACAGTTAGCCAATAAAAACAATGTTACCATGCCTATGTTCACTAGGTTGTGGACATTCAAAATAATGAATATATATGACTAATTATTCTTGTGGTAGAGTTGGGGCAACTCAATTTTATGTTACCACGCCCATGTTACTGTGTCTAAACCTATAAGTATCACTAGTTCTAAGCATTCAAAATAACAATTATATAACTAAGATAAATTATTTTTGGTCCCTAAATTTTAAAATAAATTTCACTTTAGTCCCTAAGTTTTAGAATGTGATATTTTTATCCCGAGGTTTTGAAAAATCCTCATATTGGAAGACTTTGCCAATATCTGCTTATTAGCTACGGGGAAAAAAGTGGCTAGATCTTTTTAATTCTATAATATTTTAGTTAGCTAACATGACAACAATTTATTACTTTTATTTTCAAGTTCTGCTTACACAGTAATTTGAGTAATAAATTAAACATATTTATCTATTGTTCTTCACGTCTGCATCTCCCTCTCTATAAATACATACTCAAACATGCACGTGCTGTCAACCTGACATGCTGCCAATCTATGACAATAAAATCCGCCAATACTTAGGCTTACCTTTAAAAGTGTACCGTCAAGAAGAAGAAACCCCATTTTGTAAACGAGAATGAACATTATTTTCTTTTAGGTTGATATGCAAAAAGCTGTTTTCTGGACTTTTGGGGGCTTTCTGAAAAAGATGAATTGAAAGTAGAAATGGGTGGGGGCGTGCGTTAATAAATTTATTGTTAAATGTTTGAAGGGAAACCAGGGCCTGAAGTTATGATTTCTTTGCTGAAAATTTTGTTTAATATAAGTATTTAATGTCTAATGTTATTAAATTAGGTTTAAGAACTAAATTTGCTACCTAAGCTTATTTTGACATATAAAAGTAGTTGGCACTTCAGCATAAAATATTGTAGAAAAATAAGGGTTAAAAAATCTAAGATGTCTCTCATGTCATATCCGTGATATTGACTAGTTTATTTTATTTTCTTGTCCAACAGCTTGCTTTTTTCTTTTTTTATCTGCTTTTATCGAACACTTTAATGTATTAATAGTAAGCTATATATTCTGTCTCCTTTTGATACAGCGATGGAATCCAATATCCCCTCAGCAGCGTCATGGAAGTTCAATTGTCGAAGTCTATAGAATCGTTGAGGAGGTATGGGTGTCACTCTTTTATGGTTTTCATGACATTTTTTCCTGGATATGAGTGTTAACTTGAAACTACTTTCACTCACTCTATGGACGATTGTTATTACATTCTTGTGAACACTGGCCTACATTACCGTGCTTGCAAAAATTAGGCATTAACAAGGGTGTGGCTTTGTCATAAAGTTTTATTCATGTTTGTATTATTGCTGGCCGTAGTGTTATAATTACACATTATAATGAAAAAATGTGCAGTTCAGAAAGAAGTTTATTTAGCTGTCTAATACCACTCCTCTTTTCTTTCTTTCTTTTTATTTTTTATTTATTTTTTTTTTTTTACAATAAACAAAACTAATTGTTGAATAAATGAAAAGAGACTAAAGCTGAATGGATACAAACTTTGCAAAGAAGTAAAACAAGACAAAATATCATAAAGTGACCCAATAGAGAGATCGTCAAAGAAAAGCTAAAAAATAGACAAGCTTGGAACAAACGAATAAAAATAAAACTTGCGAAGGAAGAATCAAAGAAGCCATCTCTCTGGAGTCTCACACAAAAGGCCGAAAAAAGCAACATAGAGACTTCTCACACCCATAAAAAAATCCTTACGCTGAATCTTTGGATAACAATGAAGGAATTTCATGTATTTCAAGACCACAAGCTTCAATAAGAGATGCAAATTTGCAAAGCATTGATGAAGGGAGGAAGAGTCTCCTTTGTTTTCCTAAAGTATAAAGAAAGTGATTTCCCATAGACAGCATTAATGAGTCCACTCTACTTAGGCGATCTTTAGATTCAAACACAGAGTCATCATAACGAGAGGGAGAAGGAAGAGTTTTTTTTTTCTTTCTTTTCCGAGAAGAGAAACAAAGTTCATTGATAAATAAAATAGAAGGAGCTTAAAGGGCTCCTAACACCAAGAGGTGACTTACAAGAGTCGAAGAAGAAAGACTATAATCTCTCAAAAGGATGTTTAGTCTTACACTAGTACAAAGCAAATAAAGTAAAATTAAAAAATGATCAAAAGTCAAGAAATCATCCCTAAAAGTTCTTATGTTCTTCTCACAACAGAGATACCGGAAGAAAGTCTAGTTGATAAAGAGCCACAAGGTCCTTTTCACTCCTTGAAAAGGATGACCCTCAAATACTGAAGCCAGAAGATAAAAAATGTCATTTGGTAAAATCATAGGCGGCTCAAAAGCCTCAAGCACTGTTGTCCAATTCTGAGAAGCAAGGGTGTAGTAGGCAAAAAGATGACTAGGAGATTCTAGGTGAGAATGACACATCACACACCATGAAGGAGATAGAGTAATACACAGCATTCTTCTTCTTTAATTTTCTTAGGGTAAATACTCTTCCAAACACTAAATACAAGTTAGTCGAACTAGGACCAATGAATGAACTAAAATCATCCGTGAGAGATTCTACAGTAAAAGCTTTGGTGGGATCAAGAGGTCAAATCCAACAGTCACCAGTTGACCCTATGATATACGGCAAGAGAAATTGGGTTAGACTCCAATATTCCCAAATCATTCGGATTACGATGCAAACACAAGTCTCAAGCAGCATTCAAACTGTTCCTAGCCTGTGCAGCCGTAAGATTAGGTTTAGTAGTAAAATGAAAAAGCCCTGGATAGGCAGTAGCAAAAGTCTCACAATTCAACCAAGCTTCATTCCAAGTACTCCTTCCATTGCCAAAACATCTTTGGACACGATTAGTAACAAGAGGTAAAATGCTAAAAAAGTATGTTAAAAATACTAAAAGGATAATAAAAGGAATTAACCAAGAGTAATATCTAATTATCCACAAATCCTACTACATCAGTATCACGTATTAGTATGTGTAAACTTTACTCCTTGGTATCAATGTCAGTATCTCCAGTTATCTGATATTTATATGTGATTCTTACTGGCATAAGTAACAATCATGGGCATTAACCTCCGGGTGGGTAGGTATCATGTGTAAGTGACAATCATGGGCATTAACATCTGAGTGAGTAGATAGTATGGGCAAAATGTGCCAGTTACAAAATAATGCCCATAATTGTTTTTGGCATTTTTTTTGAACTAGGATGGCTAATGCTAATGAAGAATTAAAGATTGAAGAAAGATTTGGGTGGGTTTTTTATGATTCTACAATTGGCATAAAATTTTTTGCATGCTATAGTTGCTATATCTTGAAGCAGTAATAGTATAATTTGATAATCCAGTTGAAATCACGATCGATGATGATGAAGAGGAGAATATTGTTGATGTATTTGTTCTATCTGTTGGTTGTGTGTAATTGGCATTATTATCTTACGGAACACTGGGTCTTTAGCCCTTCAATGTTTTGGGTATTCTTAGTTTTTTTATTTCAAAAGCTAGAATCAATTTTACTTCTCTGTTATGTGGTCCTGGGTTGAAAAGTTGAGTTTTCTTGTTTTAGTATAAGGATCTCAAAGCACTCTTGTGGAGCTTTCATTCATAGAATATTAAGATATGATATTTGGAGAATATATTTTATAGTTACGGAGTATATCTTAACTATTTTGGAATTGTTAGTAGTATTTTTTATCTTAGGATTTGATTAGCAATATATTTTATCTTATTTACAAGATTTAGTTAGTTATATATTTTCCTTCATTTTTAGGTATTAGTTGATGGTTTGTATCCTATTTAAATGTTGTAAACATTAATGAAGATCATACTTTCGATCCCAATTCTATTTCTATTTCTATTTCTCATTCTTAACATAGAATCCAATGTATTTTGAAAACAACCTTCTTGGAAGAATAGTTTCCAGACAATTAGTATTTTTTTTGCATTTTATCTTTAAGTTATTAGAAACTTTCTGCTGATGTCTTGAATTGTTGTCGGGATGGTTTTAAATGTCTGTGTGCATGTTGTGTGTGTCAGCCCATCAACTCTATTTTCTTATAATCATGTTGGCCCTTCTATGCAGACTGTGGATCAATTTTTTGCTCTTCAAGTCCCAATGAGGCTGACTGAACTTAATTGCTTGCTTCGTGGCATAGACAATGCATTTCAGGTGTATGCCAATCGTATCATTGAGAACATGAGTAAGTATTGCATTCAGCCTTTTGATTTAATTACTCGTTCACATTTTTATTTTTATTTTTATCTTCTTCAATAAGAGACCTGCTTTCTTTAAGAGAAATGAAACTACAAAAAGGGGCCTAAAAGAAGAAATTGCCCAAACATGGAGCTAAAGAGTGAGAAACAAGAGATCATAGGAAGTTGCCCTAATGTTTTTTTTTTTTTTTTTTTTTTTTTTTTTTTTTTTTTTTTTTTTTTTTTTTTTTT